ATCATTCAATAGATTAGAAACAGTGGCAAGACAATTATTAAGCTATTTAAATGTTTAAAGTGCCACTATATAGACAATTAATTCTCTTTTTCCCCCCCATCTGAACAGAGAGTTTGCAAAGACAATCAAACGCCCATTTGGAGTGAATTACAATCCATATACCCAAAGTGTTCAGATCCTGAAAGATCCACGAAGTATTGCACATGTGGTGAATGAACTACGGCATGAACTGGACATTGTCAGTGAGGCCCTCAGCAAGATGGACAAGTAACTGGGAATCTAACCCGTCGAATAACCTTTCTGCATTCAGTAGCTGTGGATCCCACACATACACATTCTAGCAAGATAATACTGCTTTTGTGCTTCGTGCTGAATGCTTCTTTCCAAAATGATCAATGAAAGGAAAATGTTTTTGTTTAAATATAGTTTCTTGGAAGATTCATATCAATGTTTACATACCACTCTTTCCTCCTCTTTTCAGGTCCTTTCTCAATAATTTGAAAAGAAAGTAGAATAATTTATCTAGAAAAAATTATAGACTATATTATGAAATGCTACATTTAAAAGCTAATGGTCCATATAGCCCACTATTCTGTGCAACCAATGATGGCTAGTATTAGCTGCTATGGAAGGAGCAATAAAACCTTAAAACTATCTCAAGAAGCCTGTGTTCTGGTTTATCTCCCAACTTGTTTTTTTTTTAGTTGCAAAAACCACAGCTATAACCATATACACACTTATTAGTAGGAATCAGTTGAATACAATGGTATTATTGCATTCAATAATGTAATATTGCTTATCTCTGAGTATAAATAAGTACAGTACATTTGTTTCTGAGTAAGGACAGCATGTTCCATTTTGCCTATTACATTTCTATTTGAATAATATCAAATAGAATACAGCATTTATAATTTGGGAAGTTGTGATTGAATCTGAACATCATGCTAAGCCATAGTTTACTTAAACTCGACTTGCTGAACCATCCACAATTGGCTGAATTTACATATCATGCTCTCCCATCAGCAGGTACCTAGGTGCAAAATGGGTACCTAAGAATCTATTTTGTATGACAGGATCTTGGCCTTTTTATTTTATGATTGCACAAGCCATCATGCCAACTATGTTGTGAATGGACAGGCCCTGCTTCCTGATTGCCCACAACATGCTTCCTCTAGTGCCCACAAGTCAAAATGTTGGAATTACTGCATGGCTTACAAACCACACATTAACTTGGTTCACACAGTACCTGAAACAAAAATCAAAGAAATCGTACAATGATTTAGTGAAAACTGTAAAATCAATAGGGATATGTGTTGACTTATCCCATTATATCTTTATTTGGTTATCAAATTTAGTTGCAGATATAAAGGATGAAGATAGAAAGCTGATATTACCTATGTATACACTCTGATACCATTTGGTTACACTAGTATTACACATCAGACCAAAGAGCCTAGCTGTTCAGTGAAAGTTGCAATTTTTAATCAGACCATTTTGTCTTGAGCAGAATTTTAGTAAGTTTATTGTAATTATATTCCAGTTTCATAAACCTTGTATCCCACCTTTTATTATTTTTACAAATAACTCAAGACAATAAGCATATTCAACATACCTTTCTCCTCCTATTTTCCCCACAACCCTGTGAGGTGGATTGGGTTAGGAGAAAGTGACTGGCCCAAACTCACCAATACTAATTCAGAAGACATGAATAATTCTGATCAACAGAAAGCCTGTGCATACAATATGGCACCTTTTTTTTTACATAGTTTTGAGTGAATACATATCATATTGGGTCATGGAAATAACTCACACATTTGTTGGCTGCTACAAGATTTTGCAGAGTGTTAACTATATATTGATGTGAGTGAACCTTTAGGAGCATTTAGAATAGAGGTCTTCAAACTTGGCTCTTTTACGACTTGTGGACTTCAACTCCCAGAATTCCACAGCCAACATGCTTGGCATGCTGGCTGAGGAATTCTGGGAGTTGAAGTCCACAAGTCATAAAAGGGCCAAGTTTGAAGACCCCTGATTTAGAACCACCATAGTATAAGTGGCTAAGGTCCTAGAATAGAAGTGGGCAGACCCAGATTTTAGTACTCTTTTAGGTATGGAAACTTTTGTTAAACTTTTGGGCCAGCCAGTCTGTATTCTCCTTAATCAACATCAGGTTCTGTGACAGCCCATTTGCTATACAAAGCAATAGGGCCTTGTGAAATACTATTTGTAAAATGCACTTACGATGATAGCCAGAATATGTTTTTGCTTTTTTTCAACAAGTTTTACCAATCTCTAAAACTTAGTATTTCACTTCATCAGCTTAGTTATTTATATCAAAATTCATGAAAGTTTATGCGTTTTAATTGTTAGAAAAGATTCTGCAGACGTTTTCTGATTTTCTATTACCATAGACCAGACATGTCAAACTCGCGACATCATGTGACGTCGCGCAATGTATCGGGAGTTTTGCCATTGCCAGCAATGGGGTGGGCACGGCTTCCGCATGACGCATCTGGCCCACGGGCCAGCAATTTGACACCCCTGCCATAGACTAACACAACTCTCTGTCTGCACTATCATTTTTCATAAATTGTAGCTTCTGAAATGATAGAGCACAAAATGTCAGTGATGGACCTTCAAGTTGAAAAATGTTTTATTGTCAAAAAGTTGATTTCAGGAGAACCTTCCTGGTGAGATTTTTTAGCTAGTCTTGCTCATCATGAATATGTCAGGCAACAGAGGTATCATGGATGCCATAAAGTTGAACTACTGATGGATGTTGAATCAGGTGGAAGTTAGGACAAGTGAAAATGAAATAAACCAGAGATTATGTCAACATGTGTATTTGTTTTAGCTTCTTTCCTCTTTATAGTGCAGAGGCAAATCAAGACCATGTTGTTACGACAGCCTTGCAGTGAGATGGGCGGCAAACCAATTTTAAAAAATAAGTAAAAATAAATAACTATTATAGTATCTGGTCAGTCCCTCTGACCAAAGCAGACTAGACTTATTTAGAACCATATTGACTTGTGATATCTTCAACCAAACCAGAGATTCCCAATACTGTAACAAATAAGCCAAATAAATATACCTTTTCTATGAGGATGACTTGCATGCTGCAATTGTAAAACCATCTGTAATTCAAATGCCTCAGATCACTTTTATTCAGAGTTGTTTTAAGACCAGTGGGCACATTAGAAAATAGATAGTCCTTGGTTAATGACTGCCCCATTTAGCAACTGTTCAAACTTATGACAGCTTTAGGACTGGTCCTTGATTTTATCACAGTGCTATTTGCAAGCTTCACAGCTGGCTTCTGATAAGCAAAATCAAGGGGAGAAGCCAGAAGTAAGTCATGGCTGTAGGATGGTCTGAACTTAACCACTGAAGAGGAACTGAGATCAAAAGTGCAGCATATCATATGTAGTCATATTACCTCAATGACCACATTGTTTGTTATTTAATGAAGATGAATTGTTGTTTAAAGAAGATGTTTCACCAATTGTGGTCATTACGTGAGGCCAACCAGTATATTCCTGTGTGAAGATTTTTTTCACATCTACATCATTTCATTTATGTGTAATATGGGAAACAACACCAAATCCCAGGGCTGGGAAGCAAAAAAGCTACAATAAACTAGTTCCATACTGTTACGAAGAGACATGGATGTGCCCACCAGGAATCATGCCGGTGGTGTAGTGTAGTGGTTAGAATGCAGTACTGCAGGCTACCTCACTGCTCACTCCAGGAGTTCGATCCTGAGCAGCTCAAGGTTGACTTCCATCTGAGGTCGGTAAAATGAGAACCCAGATTGTTGGGAGCAATATGTTGACTCTGTAAACTGCTTAGAGAGGGGTGTAAAGCACTGTGAAGCGGTATATAAGAATCAGAATAACAGTTGGAAAGGACCTTGTAGGTCAGGCATGTCAAAACGTGCAACGTCACATGACATATCGGAGCTTTTTCACCATTGCTGGCAACGGGGTGGGTGCGGCTGCGGTATGATGAAACCGGCCCGTGGGCCGGCAGTTTGACACCCCTGTTGTAGGTCATCCAGTCCAACCTCTCCCCCCACAAGCAGGAGACCCTACACCATTTCTGACAGATGGCAGTCCAGTCTCTTCTTGAAAGCTTCCAGTGATGAAACTCGCATAACATCTGAAGGCAAACTGTTCCATTAGTTGATTGTTCACAGTCAGAAAATTTCTCCTTATTTCTAGGTTGAATCTCTAGATCATTTTCCATCCGTTATTCCTTGTCTGGCCTTCAGGTGCTTTGGAAAATAGGTTGACCCCCTCCTCTCTGTGACAGCCCCTCATATATTGGAACACTGCTATCCCCCTGGTCCTTCTCTTTGCTAGACTAGCCATGCCCAGTTCTGTAGCCGTTCCTTCATATGTTTTAGCCTCCAGTCCCCTAATCATCTTTGTTGCTCTTATATATAAGTCTTATATAAGTCTAAGTGCTATAGCTCCACTCAAAGGAGGCTTAGTCTTACACCCCCCCACTTGTCTTACACACACATACACACACACACACACAGTGCTTTTTTTCTAAAAAAAAAGTTGCCGGAATTCACACATGTCATACAACCCACCTTGCCTACCCTACAAGGTTCCATCCAAAAAAGGTGCCGGAACTCCGTTCTGGGCGTTCAAAGAGAAAAAAAGCCCTCCACACACAAAACAAAACAACTCCTTTGGCAAGTCTTGTCCGCGTATTCCTGGGTTCACGCTCAGCCCTCCTGTCACGGGTTCGCATCGCCACATCTTTTACACAGCTCCAAGCCAAAGCTGCAAAAACCGAATGGGAAACGAGCACTGCATTGGCCGTAGTCCTCTCTCTCTACCTGCCCGGCTGGCAAACCTCCAGCCTTCGGTTTGAATATATCGTAAAACTGCTCGCTCGCAAGCAATCGCAGCGAGAAGCCGGGAAAGGCGGACTTTATTGGCCTCCGCCAGCGCTTCCGCAAGTGGGTTCCGCCTTCTTCGGCGACTCCTATGGCCGTCGCCCGCCAGGACGCCACACGGGCGCTGCTCGCTTGGGTAGGTCCCCGTTAGCGGTGCTCAGAGGGCGGAAGGAAGTGGCCTTCCTTACGGGCCCGGGGAGGAAGAAAAAGGGCCTATCGTGGGTCAGGCTACGGCCGAGGAGGAAAGGGGCGGACTTCGTCTTTGCAAGTGGAAAATTTCCCGCGTTTTGCAGACCGTTGTTGTGTTTGCAAACCAAGCGTTTGAAATGTATTTGTCATCACGCAGCAAGACGGTAGTGGCGGTGATTAGTATTTTTACACCCCCTCCCGCCCCCAATTCCCTTTCAGCCATCAGTGAAACTAGCAGGATCTTGTTAAAATTATATCTTCGGAAGAATTAGCTGTCGATTAGCTCTGGCTGGGGTTGAAACTAGACGGGAAACACCTGCGGCTATGAATACTTTACCCGACAGGCAAGCAAGCAAAGAAGCGGCTCTTGTCACGCGTAATGCCTTTGAATCAGGGGTAGGCAACCTTGGCTCTTTTATGACTCGTGGACTTCAACTCCCAGAATTCCTGAGCCAGCATGGCTGGCTCAGGAATTCTGGGAGTTGAAGTCCACGAGTCATAAAAGAGCCAAGGTTGCTTACCCCTGTGGATCCAGACACCCATCATATCACAATCCGAATTAACAAGCCCTTTAACGTCTCCGCTATCGGGCGCTTTCGAAAGGCGCTGAGCTCCGTTCACAACGCGTTCAGCAGCGCTGCCCGGAAGATTGAATTGTTCGTATAGTTGCAATGGCAGCAGTTTAAGAGCGTCGCCGAAGAGTTATCTCGCCTTCAAATTCTTTCAAGACTTCATACTCTTAAAAGGGAAGTTAAAAGTCTCTGTTAAGGCTTTCCCCTCATTTGGGGAGAAAGTCTGGATATTCCAGTCTTGCCGTGAGTGGAGCTTTGGCATTTGCTGCTCCCTGCTGGCCAGTGGTTCTTACTTGATTAGCCGGTTAGTCGTGGCTGCTTTGTGAGGAGCGTTACAGAAAACAGCATAAAATCTAAATTAATGAGCACCCAGTAGGATAAAAACCTGTAAGTCAAGAGTCACAGTTAAACTGGATAAACTTAATTCTGAATCAATGCTAACTTATTAGGTTCATGCTGGAACTCCTCTGTTGGAATTTGCTGCATCCAGGATTAGCCACCTAATAGCTGAATATTCTAGCAGTGTAAAAAATACAGGTAGTCCTCAATTTACAACAGTTCATTTAGTGACTGTTCAAAGTTATAACAGCACTGGGAAAAGTGACTTTTGACTGTTTTTCACACTTAACGACCATTGCAGTATGATCACATGATCAAAATTCAGACACTTGGCAACTGACTCATATTTATAGCAGTTGCAGTGTCCCTGGGTCATGTGATCACAATTTGTGACCTTCTGACAAGCAAAGTCAATGGGGCAGCTAGATTCACTTAACCCTGTTACTAACTTAACAACTGCAGTGATTCACTTAACAACTATGGTAAGAAAGTTTGTATAATGGGGTAAAACTCAGTTAACAAATTCCTCAGTTAACAACAGCAATTTTGGATTCAACCATGGTCTAAGTCGAAGACTACCTGTATTGAATCAGAATCAGCTGGAAGGAACCTTGGAGGTCTTCTAGTCCAACCCCCTGCTCAGGCAGGAGACCCTATACCATTTCAGACAGGTGGCTGTTCAGTCTTTTCTTAAAAACCTTCAGTGATGGAGCACACACAACTTCTGAAGGCAAGCTGTTCCACTGGTTAATTGTCCTCACTGTTAGGAAGTTTCTTCTTAATTCCAGGTTGCTTCTCTCCTTGATTACTTTCCATCCATTGTTTCTTGTCTTGCCTTCTGGTGCTTTGGAAAATAAGTTGATCCCTCTTCTTTATGACAGCTCTCCAATACTGGAACACTGCTATTGGAAAAATTGTATCCATATATTCTTTTGAGCAATGACAGTCTTGTTCCTTCTCTGATGCATGAATAAAGGCATTTCTGGCCGATAGCTTATATTACGGTTTGGGACTAGGATATTATGTACACCTGTGGGAGCTTTCTAGCTTCACCTAAAAAGGCATAATTTTCATGCACCATAGGAATGAGACTTCTCAGCCCACAGAAAGCATCCCCCCTCTCCCCTCCCCACCCCAACATTAGGCTGACTGCCAGTCTGTCAATTGTTTGGACTGACAAGGTTGTTTCAACTGGTTTCATAACAATCTTGTTTCACAGTAAATGAGAGGAGGTAGTCTAGTGTTGTACCTACTCTTATGGAGGATGTGGGTTCTCCATCACTCGAGATACTTAAGAAGAGTTTGAACAGCCCTCTTTCATGGATAATTTCATTGGTTTCCCTGAACGTTGCAGAGGACTAGATGTAGATAATCCTTGTATTAGTTTCCAACTCTATGACTCCATATTATAACTTAGTTGTTCAAAAAGACAAATAAAATGTTCCCAGCTGTGGTATGTGTTTGATGTTTATTCCTATGACTAAAAGATTCATGTAACTGGCCTTTTATCTCTAATCGGAGAGGGATTTGTAAATTGCTCAAAATCTTTGTGGATTGGTGTGGCAGGTAAGCTTAAATAAATAAACTAATAACATTGGAAGAGGAGCATGTGAAAATCTTTGATACTATGACTGATATTATACGATGGAGTTCCTGAGGAGATATTTATTTATGATATATAAAATATTCTTATAGGATTTTTTTAATTTAAAATTGCTCTGAAAGTAGAAAGAATTATAATGTAAATGATGCAATTAACAGAAATATTGGAAAGGAGAAAGATAAAAAGCAATATTACTTTTCTTAAATTTACATTATTATAATAACCAACTTGGAGAAGGGCATATTTCAGCTCTTAATATCTCCAGGTATGGCTGACAAATTCTCTTCTATAATTGGGTGCTGTCTAACAAAATGAAATTCAATGGTGAAAAAAGGTTCTACATTTAGGCAAGAAAAACGAAATGCACAGGTATAGTATAGGGGGTACCTTGCTCAATAGTAGCAACTGTGAGAGGGATCTCGGAGTCCTAGTGGACAATCACTTAAATATGAGCCAACAGTGTGCTGCAGCTGCCAAAAAAGCCAACACAGTGCTGGGCTGCATTAACAGAGGGATAGAATCAAGATCACATGAAGTGTTAATACCACTTTACAATGCCTTGGTAAGGCCACACTTGGAATACTGCATCCAGTTTTGGTCACGATGTAAAAAAGATGTTGAGACTCTAGAAAGAGTACAGAGAAGAGCAACAAAGATGATTAGGGGACTGGAGGCTAAAACATATAAGGAACGGTTGCTGGAATTGGGTATGTCTAGTTTAAAGAAGAGAAGGACGAGGGGGGACATGATAGCAGTGTTCCAATATCTCAGGGGTTGCCACAAAGGAGAGGGAGTCAAGCTATTCTCCAAAGCGCCTGAAGGCAGGACGAGAAGCAATGGATGGAAACTAACCAAAGAGAGAAGCAACCTAGAACTAAGGAGAAATTTCCTGACAGTTAGAACATTTAATCAGTGGAACAACCTGCCTCCAGAAGCTGTGAATGCTCCAACACTGGAAGTTTTTAAGAAGAGACTGGACAGCCATTTGTCTGAAATGGTATAGAGTTTTCTGCCTGAGCAGGGGGTTGGACTAGATGACATCCAAGGTCCCTTCCAACTATTATTATTATTATTGTTGTTGTCATTTCAGCCTTTTTCTGTATGAGTCCTGATAAACATATAGTTAGCCTTTTCTAAATTCCCTTGGTGCCATCTGCTGTTTTGTAATCTAAGTATAATAGTCCTCTCTGCTGCCAGGCATTGTTGACAAAATTGAACTCAGTGTAAGCTTTACCAATTTCTAGTACATATGTTTTAAAAGATTATATTTTCAATAATAAACTAGTAAATGTAAAACATCAATAAAGAGCTGTGTGTGTGATGGGTAGAATGTTGTGTTCAATATCTATAGGCTTTCGTTTGAATTCTCAACTGGCAAAGATGATCTCTGAATGACCATGAATTGACAGATTGTCTGGAAAGGGCTATTACAAGCACCAACATTAAGTAATTCCTAAAAACACCATATCGTTCAATGTATGATGTATTTGTCTATAAGATACAAATAGATAGTATCTTGGGTATCTCTGAATTAATCAAAATTTAAATAAATAAGTCTATTTCCTCCCCTCCCTTACTTTTTTTCAGGGAGCAAACAGTTATGGACAACTTGGCCTTGGTCATAAAAATGATCTGCTGCTGCCGAAAGCTGTGAAGTCATTTATCTTTAATCAGAATTGTATCAAAAGCATTACTGGTGGTGGAGGTCATTCTGCTATCCTTACTGGTAAAAATCCAACTATAATATTTCCTTGTTTATTGTGAAGTTTAGCTCTGGGCAGATTGTAGATCCTTCCATGATCAGTCAGAACCCCTAGCTACATTTCCGTTTTTGTATGATGTTTATGGATCCAGGATTTCCCCCTATATACATAATATAACAAACTGAAATATATATGCTGTTGCATGGAGAAAAGGAAATTAAAGCTATGATGCTGCTCCATATTGCTATCTTCAACATTTTTTATCAAGCCCTTCAAAGAAAATCAAACTTGGGAAACAAGAACCACTTGGGTTGGAAAGATCTTTATTTCAAATAGTAATGTGGCCAAATCTTAAAAATCTGTCAAAACAATTCTCCAGTTCAACTTATACCTAGCATAATTAAGATGGAATTAGCTTGAGTCTCTTTCGGGCATTACCTCCACCTTCAATGGAGTCTGTAATCTTCTGAAACAGCCCTGTTACTTCCTATAAAAGGCTTCATCCTCCATGTTCCTAGGGTTTGTTAGATATTGTGTCACACTTGTCATCATCTTTAACCCATTCTTCCTCAAGGAGTCACACCATGCTGAACAAGATAGTAAAAACTTGAACATAGCAATTACAGAACAATAAATGATAACACTACTTTTCCTAAAACAAAACAATAAAAATAGAAAGAATCCAAGCTGAGATCACTTCATTTCGAAGAGGCAGTACAAAAGCAGTTTTGTCCTAAAGCAGATGTTATTCTGCAAATGAACAGGCATGATTTTAAGGAAAACAGTTCCAATAAATTCTCTTCAGGAGATGTGCTGCCACTAAGAAGCCAGCTCCCCAGTTACTCATATAGGTTGAGTGATATTGGTCTTTTTAAAGCACTTGATCCTATACCATTTAGCACTATGTACTTCTACAAGCTTATTAAATTGGGCCTGGTAGATCACAGCAACCAGCTAGTATATTTGTTTCCATTTTCTTGCTTCACTTAATAATCAGGCAACTGAATTCTATACCAGCTGTGACTTCTAGATGAGAAAGCTACATTGACATATTGCTGTAATCCAGTTCTAGATTATTGGGACTAGGGATGCTGAACCTAAGTTATCTGAGCCTAGACTGCTTGAATCTATGTAGAGTTGTAGTAGGACATAAGGCTTCCTTGCCATGGAGGCCATCTGTTCTTCAAGAATCAGCCTGGAAACCAAGAGAGCCCCCAGACTGTATATCTCTTCTGAGGGGTATACTTCCTTTTTCTAGAACAGGAACCTTTCCAGGTTTCAGGCTTGAGAACTCCTTTTCCACAGTATCTCCATTTTATCTGGATTTCATTTCAGTATACAGTATACACAGTATTGGCCATTATCCAATTCATCACAGTCTCCAGTCAACTGTCAAATATTTGAACACCTTCTCTCTTATACAGATCTCTGGATAACTATTTTCAAGAAGAATAGAACCAGGAGACACCACAATGCAAGGGCCATGAGATGAAATAAAATCTCCCCATTGTAATTAGCCAATGCAAGTCTTACAAATAGAAATGGAGTCACTGTGTAATGCAGAACCTCCAATTCCTGATCCACTGAAGCACTCCAGCAATATTCTGTGATTAATACTAGTAGAGGCCACTGAGAGATTTCCCAAAAAATTCCACATGGTTGCTCTCCCCTATGTCTCTATTGGTAATCGAGGTTTATTGAAGGCTTGAGTGATATCTAAACATGAAACCGGTCTCAATAGAATTAGATTTTAAATATTTTTGATAAGTTTTTGAACTGAGGAGAAATACAGTTTAGGGAATTTAGAAAAGCATGCATCCGGAATTGGATTGTGATAGATATTATTGTTTCAGTGTTGTTAAATGGGAAGTTTTATGCCAATGTTAGATGGGGCTGAAGAATATTTTAAAAATGAACCAACAACATACAATTACTTAAGAAATGATGATATGACTTCTCATTAATTATACCCTTAAAGAATCCATTTAGTAAGTACCCTAATGCTCCTACAACTGTTCTAGAAGAATTGACATAACAATCTAAAGAAGATGGTAACCTCAGAAAACTATGATAAAGAATGTGTATATTTAATGTTACATGTATTAACAGCAGCGAGAATTACATTTGCACAGCATTGGAAAAATGAAGAAATACCAGCTGAAGAAGAGATAATTAAGAAAATTTTGGACTGTGTGGAAATGGACAGGCTTACATTAAAAATGAAAGAGAAAGAAGATATAGAATACTTTCAAACATGGGATGTATTTTATCAATGGCTAGAAAAACGGATTAGAGAGTAGGAATTTAAGATGCATTATTATGTTAAATATGTGGACCCAGACAACACGTTGTTTACTAAGCACTAAAGATTTGTACTGTAATTATAAAAAAATTAATAACATATTAAAAAAAACAATCTAAAGAAGATGGTGATGCAAATGATCACTGATTCAGTGATTTAAATCATAAGCTATTCCAGTGAGTTCAATAATAAACACATTTGGGTTAAATCTGTATAGAAGTTAATTGAAGATTAGTTGCATAGGTATCTGTTTGAAGCTGGGATGATGTCAAATGATGTTATGTTCCTCATGACACCATTTCCATCATAATGAATTTGATGTCACATGCCCTACCATTTGCCATTTTTCCGCAAAACCCATCATCAGATGTGTTCATTTAATCACTTATGGTTTATCTGCATAGGCGCGACAAGACGTATGAATGTTACATGCATTTTCACCGCAGAGCCTGCATGCTTTAATTTGTAGGATAAAACATCCAAGTTGGGAATTCAGACAGCTATCTTAGATCTATCAAGTAGATTTTGTGTTAATATATCTGTATGTATGTATATGTACTTTGAGTAGTTTCTGGTTAGGTATTCTGATTGAGACTGGGAATCCAACAATACCTGAAAACCACAAATGCAATAATTTGTTACAGGGGAAAACAGCACTGAGAATTGTTACTATGAAAGTAGTTCCTAAATAACAATTGCTGGCATAATATGGTTAAATCTATTGAGTTATATGGTCCATTTGCCATAGATAAGTCTGATGCTATTTGTTTATTTCACAGATACTGGAGAGATCTTTTTCTGTGGCCAGAATAAAGATGGACAGTTGGGACTTGGTCATAATGAGGATGTGACGCATTTTACCTTATGTCCTTCTCTTTGTGGCTGTCCTATCGTGCAAGTTGCCTGTGGCTGGGATTTTACAATTGTACTTGCTGGTAAATCTGTCATAATTTATTGGACTTGTATGCCACCCAACTCTCAATGATTCTGGGCGGCTCACAACAATCAAACAAAGAATTTCAATAAAATAGTTAAATGTAAACTATAAAGCTGGCAAGCATGATGAAGTGATGGGTCTCACTGTCCCTGGGCAAAGGCTTGGATGAATATAGAAGCAAATCATTGCGTATAGTGAAAGACTTGGATCCTATGCGTGCCTCCAAGAGGTTACAAGATCTTCAGAATTGTGTATTGTGTATAAAAATTTAAAAATTAGCTATTATTGAATGTTTGGAAATGGGACCATTTTCAACTGAATTAAGCACAATAATTAAGAAAACGAGTTAGGCAGAAAGACTTTTGTACTCACTGTGTGGCCAGTGCTTATAGAGCTGCACAACTTAACAATAAAGTTCTAAAATAAAGCCAAATTAGTATTAAAACTCCCATTCGGTTACTTCCAATGAGCTATAGATGTAATTAATATTTGTTGAATTATATTGGCTTTTTAAAATAACAAGGATTAGGCTAGACAAAATATGGTGAGTTCTTAGAACAGTTATGCACAAAGTTAAAAAACAGTTCTGTCTTTACATTCATTCATTCATTCATTCATTCATTCATTCATTCATTCATTCACTTGCCAATGACTCTGGGCGACTTACAGAAGGTTAAAACGTGTTAAACTACCATTTCCTTATAAACGTAAATCTCTGAAACTACTCTGCAGCTAGGAGACTTCCTTTCAGTTCTGGTTTTCAGCTGTTTTGGTGGCTCTGTTTTTTATATGGTTCCTTTAACTCCAGTTTTTATTTCACTCTTGTTCATTCTTTTGTCTCCTGTAATTTATCCCTTTAATGTTCTAAAGTTCTTACACTGCATTTAAATCACGCTAGAAATAAGTAATGAATATACAGGTAGCCCTTGCTTAACAACGTGTTTTACAACCATTTGAAGTTACGATGGCCATGGAATGGGTGCTTTACAAGCACCTCCAGATGTTATAAATCAGACATGTCAAACACAAGGCCCTGGGGCCGGGTGCATCCCGCGAAATGGTTTCATGTGGCCCGCGAAGCCATCCTGGAAACAGTGAGGGAACGGCCCCCGCTGCCTTATTCCTGGGCCAGGTCAGCCGGGAGCCAATGTACAATTTTGTGGTGGCCATCTTGGCACTTGGCCCAGTGGACCATGCCTTGGCACTTGCCTGGGTCCCACCCCCTTCTGCAAGAGACCCTCAGATCTGTCCCACTCCTGCCCAGGCCCCCCATAGGCACCCTTGACGCGAATGATGTAGAACTGGCCACGCCCACCCAGCAGGCCACACCCACTCCATCCACGCCCACCCATTAGGCTGCACCCACTCTGGCCACACCCACCCAGCCCCCCCAGGGCAACCGCAATGCTGATGTGGCCCTCAGTGAAATTGAGTTTGACACCCCTGTTATAAATGGTTACGCCAGCACCTATGGTCATATGACATATCCGTTGCAGCCTTCCATGGTCATGCGACTGTGATTCTGCCAGTTTCTGGCAACAACAACACCCATTGAAATGAATAGCTTTGTTTGGTGACCATAGTATTTGCTTAACGACTGCTGTGTTCTCTTAATGATCATTGCAAAAAAGGCAGGAAATTTAAGTCAGGTCTTGTGGGTGCCTCAACTTATTACTGTAATAGTTTATGACCTAATTCCAAGCTCAATTATAGTTGTAAGTCAAGGACTACCAGTAGAGGTCATGAGGTTCAAGGAATGTCTATGATTACATGAATTGGAATCAATCATAGAGCTAGGCAAATAATAAGTATTGCATGGCATATTGCACTGAAAATTCATAATACTTTTGACTTGAGGTAGACAATAAAGGTGTTCAAAAGTGCTGCTCTGTCTTTCAGGAAATGGCCAAGTATTCTCCTGTGGATCTAATTCCTTTGGACAATTGGGAATTCCTGATATTTCAGGCAGATGCACTGTTCCTGCAATGATTAAGGTAAGAGGTCCTTGGTGCTTTTCCCACCAAAGCTTGTTAATCACCCCATCAGAGAGAAGAAGAAAAAGCAGTTTTGTAAAAATGAGATCGTTTGTTTTAGAAGTTGTTGCAAATTTTTGCTGTAGGTTTTGGGGATATTGTATCATGTCTTCATGCTTCCTGTTTGTAAAGCCATTTGAAAAATCAAGTATTTAAATCAATAAAATTAGTATCTTTTATGATATACATTTCCTTAAAAGTCTCTCCCAATCCTCTCACTTCTCTCATAGTCTTTACAGGATAAAGTAATAAATATTGCTGCTGGACTCAGGCATGCTGTTGCTGTGATTGGTGAGTTACACCTTTATGGTGAAATTAACAATAATAAAGATATAATACTGTGCCCGATCAGAAGAGTTTAATTTTGCAGCTGAAATTGCTCTGTGAATTTGCTAGAAAAGACACGAAGTATTTAAGAAATAATTCATTGATTCAATATTCAATGACAGGCTAATATAAATCAGGTATTTTATGGAATATATTCTGTGACGATTATTTAACTTTCATGGATCACTTAATCAAAGTGGTTTGGAAGACTTTTAAAAAGAATTTATAATTAGGATAATTTTGGTCTTTTACCTTCAGCCATTTGATCCATATAAATTGCTTAATAACTTTCATTCAATAAAGCCCTGGAAATCAATATTATATTGTTTCTTCTGGCATTAACTGGGATGGTATGGAACCCCATTCTAAAAATAGGTGCACAAAGTGCCTCTCACTGGTTGAAGGTGTAGCATATTAGGGAACTTGAAAATATTAGAGGTAGTCCCTGGGTTACAATCCTAATTGGGATATGAATGTATGTTACGCAGTGAAGTAGTTATTGAGTGAAACATCACACACTTAGCAACAGTAGTTCAGGCAGTTCTGATTGTGGTTGTTAGGTGACCTGCCAGTTTTCCCAGTGACTGTGCTTACCAGAAACCAGCAGAGAAAGTTTCCGATCTCATCCCCTATTCTGGGACAGCTTCCACCCTGATCAAAGCTATTCCCGTCTTGGTTCTTCCCAGCCCTGAGCCTTGATTCTTCACAGGCAAGGGATGCTTTCAAGGGAACACCGAGCCAGAAGAGGCTAATTTGATTTTATTGGTCTGAATGAATTGCATCTGCTTCAGCATCCCCACTGCCTATTTCCCACAACTCATCTGACCGTGGTGGCGCAGTGGTTAGAATGCAGTACTGCAGGCTACTTCTGCTGACTGTCAGCTGCCAGCAGTTCGTGAGTTCTATTCTCACTGGCTCAAGGTTGACTCAGCTTTCCATCTTCCGAGATTGGTAAAATGAGGATCCAGATTGTTGGGAGCAATATTCTGACTGTAAAACGCTTAGAGAGGGCTGTAAAGCACTGTGAAGCGGTATATAAGTCTAAGTGCTATTGCTATTTGTCGTTTTGACTGCCCTGTATAGCATGGCTGAGAGGAAGACATTGCTTCTATTCTGCTGTTGCCTTTCCTCTGCCACCATGACCCTCAGTGGACTTTCCTCCCTGTTTCCTCCTCCGTACTATTATTGTCTTCTTTTTCCTTCTTGGCATTGTCTTACCTCCCCTGCACTGGGCTTGCTGACACTGGCAAGCTCCAAGGCCTATTTGCTGGGATCAGAGATGGCAGTGAGGGGTGGAGCAGTGGCAAGGGGCAGGGGAAGGCCCACCACTGTCATGGGGCCTGAGGCTGATTGACGTTGATGAACCCAGCACAGGGGAGGTGAGGTGATGCTGAAGAAAAGGAGGAATAGAATAGAATAGAATAGAATAGAATAGAATAGAATAGAATAGAATAGAATAGAGCTGGAAGGGACCTTGGAGGTCTTCTAGTCTTCTAGTTCTTCTAGGAAGAAAAAGAAGATGGCAGCATTGAGGAGAACAAGGGAGAAGGTCCACTGGGGACGGTGGTGGCAGTAGGAAGATGGTGGTGGAATATAGCAGTGCTGAACAAATGATCGTAACCCAGGGACTGCGTGTACAGCTAAATTATGTTTTACATTTTATGTGCTAAATGCGAACTGTTAAGCTGCTATCAATAAGACACACTGATGTATTTCATCAAGCTATCAGGGGAATAGTTTTTAATCTTGACAATTTATTTTCCTTTTGTGTGAGCAGAAAATGGTTCTGTATTTCAATGGGGAATTGGTATGGCATCTCAAGCAAAGCGAATGTGCCAAGAAAAAAATATTCCTTCTTTCTTGAGGGCAAAGGAACCTTGCAAAGTACCAGGTTTGTTTTTTTTTAAAGCTATACATGGTATTGATGCATGTTTGGGGCTTTTGTGCACATATTCCGCCCAGAGCCATTTTGCAGAGTGAGATGGGCAGGATATAAATTTTTCAAAGCATATTAATATTTTCAAAATTAACAGCTGCATCATGATAGTGGCTGACATTTAACTTATAGCTGACAAAGATACCTAGCATTCATTTTTCTCTATTAAGGAGAGCAACACTTTAGACAGAGGTTCATATTTTGTCTCATATTGTGTTCTACACAATCTAAGACTTTGTTTTTCCTACAGGAAACCTGGGAATCTAGGCATTATAGTTCAAGGGAAGACATTCTCAAACCTCATTATTGCTATTCATTTTATTTTCAGTGGTTTTCACAATAGCAACATTTCTTTAGTTCAAACTCCTGTAGCAACTCAGGCTACCTAAGCCAAGTTGTGGTTCTTGAAAATTAATTTCATTTGTAAATGTATATGCTTGCATTTTTAAAGAATATTCAGCCATATCAAAAGTGACCCTTGATCTATTAAAATTTATTTGCGGTGTAGTAACCCAACATGACCTGTACAGCAATGATTTCTATATATCTCACACTTTTTACTTTTTAGCTTTAGTTTTGTTTGTGACCTTCTGCAACACAGAAAACCTCTGTGAAAGGAATTCTCTCTCTTTAACTCATGGCATAAATGGATTACTCTCCTAGGTTTTGAAAATGTCAAAGTGAGGAGTGTAGCTTCTGGCTCACATCATGTTGTGTCACTCACAGGTATGTTTCCTTGTCTGTACCTATTCCTTTGGCTTGGCTTAACCCAGTGTTTCTCAACCTTGACCATTTTAAGGCATGTGGACTTCAACTCCCAGAATTCCACAGCCAGCAATGCTGGCTGTGGAATTCTGGGAGTTGAAGTCCACATGCCTTAAAATGATCAAGGTTGAGAAACACTGGCTTAACCATACAAAACATTCTGTTTCTGATATTAGTTCAAGTTTCCTTAGGAGTGTCTGAGTGTATGATTTATGTGTTTCAGTCTTCAAAGCACCTATTTCCTTCTCCCATTTTGAAACACTAGCTCAAATGTCCTTCATATGGTTTATGTGACTTTGACTTGTGGATTTTTGTCTGTATTTTTGTTTGCTGTTTTCATGTTTCATCCTCATAAGCAGAACTGAACCACTTAGATAAGCTTGGAAGAAAATCCAAGAACTGAGAATAAGTGAAATGTATTGGAAAAAAAGTCAGGAAATTAAAACCCAAAGAATTTTGGCAACTGCTGAGAATAGATAGATTGATGTGGTGGTTAAAAGCACTAAGTTGGAAACTGGGAGACCTTAAGTTTCTAGTTCTGCTTAGTGATGAAGCCAGCTGAGTGATTTTGGCACAGTCACTTTCTCTCAGACTTGGGAAGAAGGCTGTGGCAAAATACTTTTGAAAAAACTCTTGCCAAGATTTGGTCAATAAAGACAAAGTGTAAACCTTGTATTTAATTTTTCTTTTCACTGTATCTAATAGGTCTTCTCAGCTCTATCTTTTGAGTGGCCTAGTTTGTTTTCGTCTGTCCTTTGTTAAGATTTGTTAAGATAAATGTTTTTTTTCTGATAATACAAAAACTTTTAGTCAGTATGTTTTTTTCCTTATGAAGAACTGACAAAGGAATATTTATTATGCTTGCATTGTGTGTATGTATTGTGCATTGATGTTGTCAAGGTTATGTGTTTGTATGTCCTGGATACACTTGTTTGCATGGGGATGATTTGGTTTCTATATTACAAATTTTGGAGAAATTTAATTTGCAACTATGGCAACTATGGCTAATTGCATGCAATGTGACTTATGCATCGTTTCTTGTGCTTTGGCATTTCTGAATTGTAGCTTCTTTTTAAAGTTAAGATATTTACTATTTCTGCATAGAGCAATGACATTTAATCACTATATCTGTGTCCTTAAGAAACAATACAGAAAATGTCTTCCTTGCTATTTTATTCTTTCTCTCTTTTTAAGATGATGGAGATTTATATGTTTGGGGAAACAATAAGCACAAGCAACTATTAAGCAAAGACTCTGTTGTTTTGGAACCTCAGAAGATTGAAGCTTACTATTTTAATGGGGAAAAAATTAGAAGAATTTGGAGTGGTTGGACACACTTGGTAGTACAATCAGGTATAATCTAAAAAGCTGTATCTAAAATACAACATCTATTTAATTGTATGGATCCTTAAAGGAATTTTAGACTAAGATGTGTGGAAGACATGGCAAGATACTGTGTCAGAAAAATGTTTGATTTTATTGTACTGATTGGTCCTCATGCTAAGCTGTAAATTAGTCTTTTGTGTTCCCTTTCTCCTCTTTCCTTCTCTGAGGTATTACAATATTATTCATCTTTGCAAAGATAATTACAACTTTGCTTTGCTATGCAAAATAAAATATATTATATGTCCAAATATATAAAATATATTCCCTAAATTAAAATATATTCTCAGTCCTACTGTTAGAAGTTTGTAACTCAGAATGCAACAGATGCCAACATCTTAGACTACAATTTCAGACAATGGTTTGATAGGAGAATAGCCATATATATACTACTAACACTCTTCTGTCTGTATGTAACCCTAACATTTAATTAATCTAAATGATGCATTATAAGACTTATGAGGATTTTATACTACTCTAATAGTAGGTCTAGAATTTTGTTCCTACTATGCCATCAATATTGGACAGAAATGCTATTCATTGTAGCTTTCCACAGTAGCTGTTTAATTTCTGGCTTAGATACAATATATAGTTTCTCTTTAAATAAGATACTATGGCTCCATTTCTTCATTAGTGAGATCATGAGTTCTGTAAGGGAAATAATAGTTTGATTGCATTGGGGCTTCAGTTTAGCAGACCAGACAAAGGTGAAATTGGCAAAAGTTTTGCAAATATCATTTATCCCATAAGTCAGGCCTCATGTTACTGGATCTTTTTCTTGCTTGCTTGCATGCCTTGTTGCTTCTAAGGATTTGGGAGTGAAAGCAATAGTGTGTAAAGCTCATTCTTGCAGTTTTATTAAGAGGAATTGCAGAATGTAAATCCAAAACTGAAAGTCACTCTTTTTATAATTGATATTTTTGTGAGAATGGGACTAGATTCTATAATGTTGCAGAGGTAAATTAGGTTATGTAAGAATCTCATTGAGATGGTTTGACTAAAGGAAGTTCTAAATATAGCAAAAATGTGTTGAAAAAGAAAAGAGATAACAAAGTCTTAAGTCTTTAAAAGGTGAGTCATCCTGGGTTCAGAATAACTGCCTTCCTCCTTATGCTGGTAGCCAATAACAAAGGGAGCCTTAATTAAGGGAGTTTATTTACCTTTGTGTTGTTCTGAATAAATCCACAGATCTGTTTGTTATGCATTTTTAAAATGGGAAAATAATTCTCAGTACATTAAAGATATACACATCCTTTCTTGTGAAAATGGATTAAAGGAAATGGAAAAAATGCTTACACTGTCATTTCCCCTCCCTGTCCAATTGCAGTTATACCAAAACCTAGAGAGGGGATATACCATAAAATTATAAGCTGAGCTGGGTAGCTCCAGATAGGTCCTGTGGCAAAAAGGAAAAATGTTGTCCCACCCAGTAGGCGTTTGTTGTGGATGGGGTCTTGCACTAAAAGCTTCTGAAAAACAGCTCTTTTCATGTGTAGTATTATAAAGGCACACTGCAATGTCTTAGAGAAGTAGTAAATAGGATTTATTTTGCTTGATGAATGTATCCTAGAAGACCTTTGTTGTTCTTGAGCAGTTTGGTTCTGTGTGAGCTGCTAGGTGAAATATGAAGAATCGGTGATCCAAGGTCTGTGGAAAGAAATGATAGATAAGTTAGTGCTGGCAAAATAACATGTGAAATCTTGGAAGACCTCATCATTTATTTTATGTCTTCTCTCCCATAACTGGCAATAGGATGTCAGAAAATACTAGGAAGATGGTTAATGAGCAAAATGATAAGTGGAGGGATGTGAGAGTTTTGAAAGGGTCAATCTTACATTTAGTGCCCTTTGTTTTTTTTAGTTGAAAAACCTTTAAAAGTAGTGTTGTCTTATGGTTAAAGTTTCAAATTAGGGAGACTCGGAGTCAAATTCTATCTAATCTAGAATTTTTATAAGGCCTAAAATATAAATAACCTTTGGTGAGATAAAAAAGTAATACATATTTTCAAGTACTTTTAAATAACTAGTCCATACATGAGATTGAAACCTGTCAATTTACTGGGACCGTATTACTCGATGCATCTTTGCCTTATTTATTCATTTGCTTGCTTGCTTACAGTAAAGGACTTATATTGCTGTGTTTTTCATGCAACAACTTCAGTAGTTTACAACAAACCATAAAACATAGTTAAAAAGAAAGGTACCCTTTCCCTCCAGGTACCAAACAAAGTAACCTTACACTCAATCCCCATCCTAGCCCAATGCTTGATAAAAGAGCCAGATCTTTATAGCTTTTTGGAAGGTTAAAAGAGGATAGAGCCCTTTGATCTCAATGGGAGGCTGTTTCAAAGAGCTGGGGCCATCACTGAGAAGGCATGGCTTTGTGGTTCCATCAGGTGGCAGTATTTAAGGAAGGGGATTTGGTGCATACCCATCCTATCTAACATAGTGGGATAAATAAATACCTTCAGGCAAAGGTGGTTCTGCAAGTAATCTGGCCTTGGAATTTTTTGCTCTGATAGAAGATGATATTGGGGTTAAGCATCCTTCACTTGCTTGCTGTGGTTTGTGCAATCCATTGTATAGGTTGTTGTGAAAGGATCAAATCAAAGATTTGCAGTGTAGGATATGGAGACAATGTGTAAGAGACTGGAATGTAGAATTAAACGTATTATCAGCTTAGATTCCTTATGTTGCCACAAACAGTCCATGTACAGCCCCCCTTTAATTCTATTGTCCATTATCTAACACCAATTTAGTGCTGACTGTTAGTTGAATAGATTCTTGGCTATAGGCTTGAATAAATATTCTGCGCTGCAACTTATAGACCTGATCCTTTGTGCAAGTATGGTATTCATTCCTTGGTACTTCCAAATTCTTTGCCTTGTTTATTTTTTATGTTTCTGAGTCATTCAATTAAAAAGAAAAGAAAAGTAGTATGCCACAAAGCAATACGTCAGCCTGAGGCATTATCTCTATTCCCAAAAATGCCTCTGAGCCCCATTTCTCATATGGACCAGAAGCATTTTTAGAAAATAACTGAAAAAAGAGAGGAGAGAAAGATTGATTTACAAACCCATGTGGACTTGAACATTTAGGTTTCTTGATGGTTTACATGCTGTTATAGCATGTAGTGCCTTATGATAGAAATGCTGTCTTACTTAGGAAGTTTATTATATTTTGAGTAACAATTCAAGCAAGCTGTTATTAGGACTATTCTGTGACTTTAGTCTGAATCTCAGAAGTGCTGCAAACATCTTAGGCCACATAAAATAGAGGATATGGGGCTGTCAAGGATTTCCTGAGTTCCTTTCAAATGCATTCATTAAACACGTTTAAACTCTCTATGTACTGACTTTCTAGCTATAATTGCTAACAGCATATAACTTGTAATTCAGGTCAGTTTTGTGGAATAGCTTGTAACTAATTTATTCTTTTGGTAGGACCTTTAGAAAGAGCATGGTATTTCTGTATTAAATGTAGGCCACAAAAGGTGTAAGTGTAAATAGTTCCTTTTTTACAGCTCTTGCCAAATACATGTGAATGTGCATTTTAGGTCAGTGGCAGAAAGGAGGTGAGATTTCTCACAGTAGTTTAATATTTTAAAAAATCCTTCCTTCCTTCCATCCTTCCTTCCTTCCTTCCTTCCTTCCTTCCTTCCTTCCTTCCTTCCTTCCTTCCTTCCTTCCTTCCTTCCATGTGATTTGCATGTGACTCTGGGCAGCATACACAATTAACAACATTTGACTCTTAAAACCAATTAAAGCAGTTTTGTACAAAAAAGAAAAGGCAAAGGAAAGTGCAACTTATTTTATGACCTAATTATTCCACAGTTCAGTGATTGTCTCTTTCTGTGTTACTACTGTTCCTGCTAAAATAATAATATCATTATCCAAAAATGTAACTGCTACTAAATTCCCCAAATACGTAATTGAATGCTGCACTTAACTGGCAAACTCTTACGGTGAGCAAAACTTAATTCTATTTTTTTTCTGGTATCTGTTGTTCTCCCTCTGGATATCTGTGGAGGGTAGATAGATCTCACACTGTGTTGTCCTCTTTGCATAGCGATCCTATGGTGTCCTTCATCATGAATGATTCTGGGACATGTATCTCTTCAGCCACTTGTAATAGTGTAATATGATCTTTCATTCCTAGCCACTATCTTTTTCCCCTCAAGTCTTCCTTTCTAGATCCTTAAGTCATTTCAGCCCTCCCCCCCCCCGTGATTGTATATGAAGCCCTTTATCTCTTCTTTTTTCAGATTCAAGTTATCAACCACAATTACAGTTTGTATGACTGAGCAGTAACCCAACAGGATGGCAGTCAATATTTACCTTCTCCATTCTGTCAGAGATGTTTGGATTTAAACTGCCATCTGTCTCCATACAACCTGGCTAATAAAAAGCAGCTGTAGTGGTTGGAATCCAAAAGAGAGTTTCAGGTTGTCCAAATTAATTTAGGAGAATAATACGTAATTAGTATTGCATAGTAAAAGGACTAAATAATTAAATAGTTTAGTATTATATAATACTTAGAATAATACTAAACATAGAATAATAATAAAAGTATTATCTTTGTATCATATTTTCTCAAATATTGAACCAGCACAGATAGTGACGACTTAACACTAGTGGCATGTGTATATAGAATTTAGTATGTCTCACTCTACTACAAAGTATATCTAATGAGTGACTGAGCACAGGCAGTAATTACAGTTAGATGTTCATCTGTATGCATGTATGTACGTATGTATGTATGTGCTTTATAACAATAAATATGGTGTCCAAAGTATTACTTAGTGTATTGAATTTTTCTGTTTATGATCATTGCTGCTGTCTCAAATAGCTTTATCAAAGGTTAAGCTGAATAAATTAATCTTGATTGTTTTTGATACCTTCAAGGTAAAATTTGCGAATTACGTCGCAAATGTTATGTTTTATGTCATCATATAAATCTTAAAGTATTCAGGGATGATAAGCTGAAGTTGTAGTGGTAGGAAAACTCAGCAGACACTGAAAACATAGAGGCAAAAAAAATACCTGGTCTAATTTAGACTTTTCATGCAGTGAGTAATAAGATAAAATGTACTGATTAGGTGATACAGAAAATCAACAAAGGACAGAGTTGAAGATGAAGTCCAACAACCTCTGAAAGAATATCAGCTCTTTTCCCATGTTCAGGTATAAGAACATTCTCTGATATTTTTGGGTCTTGAATATGCAGTGAAATATGAATTGAAAAATAATTGTGCAAAATTTTTGAATTAAGGTAGTATTCTGGTTGCGTTAGAGTTTAGTTAAATTTGGAACAAAGATTCTGATATTTGATAGTGATAGCTATCCTCTTGCAGGCACCATTAATACCTACTTTTAAATATTTCTGCATGTCCATGGAATCTCCAGAAATTGCTATCCCTTTTACTCTGAGTTGTAGCAGGTACTTTATATAAAACTTGAAATATATGAGAGTGTAAATCAAATCTGTAAGTGCTTAAAAAGAGCCTTGATTGTGCAGAAACCTCCTGTGAATACATGCAGAATCAAGCTTCAAGCCATGCTAGCTAACATGGGAGGTTTGGGGATTGAAAGGACACAGCCAACTTGCATAATTCTCTTCTTGAAGAAATCACCGGTTCAGAATGAAAGCTTGAAACAGGCTCTAATACATTCAGTATGCAATTAAATTGGCAGAATCCCTGATGCTGTGGATAAGATGTATAGACTCTTTTAGATAATATGGAGGGCAGAATTTGTGGCTGCAGCTAGTCACAATCCTCTTCTTAGCTATATGCATATTAAGAAAAAGGAGGATTCCCTTGAGATGCTTAATGATAGCATGTGTTCCAATATCTCAGAGGCTGCCACAAAGAAGAGGGAGTCAAGCTATTCTCCAAAGCGCCTGAGGGCAGGACAAGAAGCATCGGGTGGAAACTAACCAAAGAGAGAAGCAACCTAGAACTAAGGAGAAAGTTTGTGACAGTTAGAACAATTAACCAGTGGAACAACCTGCCTCCAGAAGCTGTGAATGCTCCAACACTGGAAGTTTTTAAGACGAGACTGGACAGCCATTTGTCCGAAATGGTATAGGGTTTCCTGCCTGAGCAGGGGGTTGGAGTAGATGGCGTCCAAGGTCCCTTCCAACTTTATCATCATCATCATCATCATCATCATCATCATCATCATCATCATCATCATTATTATTATTATTATTATTATTATTATTATTATTATTATTATTTATAAAAGGGACCAAAGCCCATGAGATAAAATAAACCATTCAATTCCTAATGTGACATGTAATAAAAGAATGATAATGGTACACTGTGAGACAAGATGAAGTAGCAATGGAGGTGGAAATAAAAACAATTGTAATATGCAAGCGCAAGCTATTAATTAGTGTAAATTAAGAATGGGTATTCGCCTTCTAAACATAAGAGGGGTTTCCGTTTATTGCTCAGGGAGCAGCTGCCTTGCTCATGGAATGGATTAATGCCAATGTAAGCTAAATAATAATAGCAAGGAACAATCATGTGTAACTAAGAAACCGTTCACAATATAAAATAAGAATACAGATAGAACCAACTTGCTTTGTAAATAGAACAACTCGCTTTCTTCATATAAAATCTCCTTAATAGTCATTTTTTTTGCCTGTGGTAGATTAAAGAATCTAAAATGTATTGGCCAACTATCGCCCGGTCTCCAACCTTCGCTTTGTGGCGAAGGTTGTTGAGAGTGTGGTTGCGCAGCAGTTTATTTATTTATTTATTTATTATTCGAATTTATATCCCGCCCTTCTCCTTGCGGACTCAGGGCGGCTGACAATCAATTAAAAACACCAATAACAGCACAAAATTTAAAATTAATTAAAATGAAATATTTAACTTGTCTAATTTAAAATATAATTAAAAACTCCTCTAAAAACCCCTCTTAAAAATTACCCTAGGCCAGNTTGCAGGCACCATTAATACCTACTTTTAATATTTCTACATGTCCATAAAATCTCCAGAAATATCCCTTTTACTCTGAGTTGTAGCAGGTACTTTATATAAAACTTGAAATGTATGAGAGTGTAAATCAAATCTGTAAGTGATTAAAAAGAGCCTTGATTGTGCAGAAACCTCCTGTGAATACATGCAGAATCAAGCTTCAAGCCATGCTAGCTAACATGGGAGGTTTGGGGATTGAAAGGACACAGCCAACTTGCATAATTCTCTTCTTCTTGAAGAAATCACCGGTTCAGAATGAAAGCTTGAAACAGGCTCTAATACATTCAGTATGCAATTAAATTGGCAGAATCCCTGATGCTGTGGATAAGATGTATAGACTCTTTTAGATAATATGGAGGGCAAAATTTGTGGCTGCAGCTAGTTACAATCCTCTTCTTAACTACGTATATGCATATTAAGAAAAAGGAGGATTCCCTTGAGATGCTTAATTATAAAAGGGACCAAAGCCCATGAGATAAAATAAACCATTCAATTCCTAATGTGAAATGTAATAAAAGAATGATAACGGTACACTGTGAAACAAGATGAAGTAGCAATGGAGGTGGAAATAAAAACAATTGTAATATGCAAGCACAAGCTATTAATCAGTGTAAATTAAGAATGGGTATTCGCCTTCTAAACATAAGAGGGGTTTCCGTTTATTGCTCAGGGAGCAGCTGCCTTGCTCATGGAATGGATTAATGCCAATGTAAGCTAAATAATAATAGCAAGGAACAATCATGTGCAATTAAGAAACCGTTCACAATATAAAATAAGAATACAGATAGAACCAACTTGCTTTGTAAATAGAACAACTCGCTTTCTTCATATAAAATCTCCTTAATAGTCATTTTTTTTGCCGGTGGTAGATTAAAGAATCTAAAATTAGTTTAATAATGGAAACAAAGCTAGGCTATCCAAGAGGTGATTTCACTAGTTCATATATCTTTAGTCAAATATAAATCATGTCTCAGGTCTTGTTCTTTTTAAGCTCTATTAAACTGGAAATCAAGATTTGACTTGTATTTGGAGAGCTGCAATTAATTTTGTTATGGAATTATGTCAGGTATGTTTATAATAAAATCACTAAAATTAGATTGCAGTCAGCATTTAGTTATTACTATTACAAGTTTCAAGGGAAAAGTTGTATCATGAATTTTAAATAGGACAAAGCTATGGCTAATGTGGCCGATGTGTGACTTCCAGGTGGAATTGAAAAAAATGTTAATTGAGTATTTCATCCATATGTAGGAGGGTTTCTTGACTCATTTCCTCTCA